ATCCTCCCAAAGGGGTCTGGGCATTGACCCACGAGAACAGGATGTCGCACTGGCTTCGAAGTAGACAGTACTTGGTATATCAGACCTCCGTATATAGGAGCAGCAAGAACAGCGGCATCATTGCGGTTTTAGATTTTGGGCTTTTGGTTTTATGACGTTGGCAGTTGCAAAGTCAGAAAGCAAAGGAAATAGTGTTAGCGGCACTGATTTTGAGGAATGTAGGTCGGTAGTGATTAGCCACAAAAGTAAACACTCCTGTACACAAATGGATCATCCGAAACCCTAGAGTCCCTAGAGGCCCTAGACCCTCAATCCTAAACCCTCTCTACAATACTGCTGTCACAATAATCATGCAGCTTCCCATCCCCATCGCGCGGCCGTTGCCAGCAGGCTTTGTCCCTCAAGGCATCTGCTAGGAAGCAAACAGGGACTTTTGGGGATGGACTCTCTCATCCATCAGGCCGGGTGTTCAAAGTCTACCCACTGAGTAACGGGTGGGGCGATGGTTTTGGAGCTTTGGGTTAAGCGTTGAGGGCTTAGGGTATGGTGGTGAGGTTCAAGTCAACAGTCCCGTCGATGACGTTCGATGGAAGCAGGCATTCTTTCTGGAACTTGCCACACCTTTTTAATAGGGCTGGAGGCTACGGGTGGCATTCCGATTGTTTCTTACAGAACCCTTTGAGAATCCTGATTTTGCTCGATCCGAGGCTAGGACCACTGTGTGTGTGTGTGTGTTGAGACTATCGAGTCTAGGTTATTCTGGACGAGGGTCCAGAGTTTCCGCATCACCAAAACAGTGGATGTCTCAAACTACTGTTGATGATATAAATCCTGCATGACCCATAATAAGGAATATACTAGAATTCCCATATATTCCTTATTATGGGTAATGCAGGATTTATATCATCAACCGTAGTAACCCCACAGAAGATATCGATACATCGTGGGAAACAACCCGTCTACAGCCGTACTAGAGTTCCAGAAAGAGCCTAAGCCCTAACCCTGCACCCCAAAACGTCATGAAGCCCCCCCAAGACACAAGCCGAGCAATTAACTTACAAAAAGCTCAAAAGCTTCGTGTGCAGGTTCGTTCCAGCCTCATCTCCGAAGAACTGGGAATGCGCATCGCCGCCTACAGCCATGCAGCGGAGAAGGCAGCTCTGTGTCCTAAACCTTAAGGGTTTTAGGAATTCAGGGTTTAGGGCTTACCCTAAACCCAAACCCTAAGCCCTAAACTCTAGAGCCCTAAACCGTTTCGGGGTTTAGAGAGCTTCAGGGGCCCTGCTCAAGGTTTGAGATCTTGTCGGAATTGTAGTTCTTTGACCTAGAGGCATACGTCCTTTGAAACTGAGGGTTTCGGGGTCTGGGTTTAGGGGTTTAGGGGTTTAGGGTTCAGGGGTTTAGGGTCTAGGGTTTGGGGGTTTGGGTTTAGGGTCTAGGGTTTGGGGTTCAGGGGTTTAGGGTCTAGGGTTTAGGGGTCTGTGTTTAGGGTTTAGGGTTTAGGGGTTTAGGGTTTAGGGGTTAGGGGTTTAGGGTTCAGGGGGTTAGGGGTTTAGGGTTTGGGGGTTAGGGTTTAGGGGTTCAGGGGTTTAGGGGTCAGGGGTTTAGGGTTTGGGGGTTAGGGTTTAGGGTTTAGGGGTTCAGGGGTTTAGGGGTTAGGGGTTTAGGGTTTGGGGGTTAGGGTTTAGGGGTTCAGGGGTTTAGAGGTTAGGGGTTAGGGGTTTGGGGGTTAGGGTTCAAGGGTTCAGGGGTTTAGGGGTTAGGGTTTAGGGTTTCGGGGTTTTGGGGTTGGGGGTTTGGGGTTCAGGGGGTTGGGGGTTTCGGGTTTGGGGTTTAGGGGTTCAGGGGTTTAGGGGTTTGAGGGTTTAGTTTTGACGATTTTAGGTATCGGGCTTTGGGGTTGTGGGGTTTGGGGGTCTAGCGGGTTTCGGCATGCAAGACAGGGTTGATTCTGGGGACCCTGAAATATCTAATGCCTCCAGCCTAAAGCCGTAAACTCTAAAACGCTAATTAAACAGTTGAACTCTAAAATCCTAATCCCTATAAGCCTGAAATCCTAAACCCCTAAGCCTTAAAACCCTTACCCTAAGATCCTATGCAAACCTTAAGGCCCTAAACCCTAAACCTGAACATACAGCCTTACCTATGGTCTCCATTGTAGGTCGTTTTTGTGGTTAACCAGTTTTATGGTTAGGACCCTATAATAGAGATTTTGGTAAACCAAAAAAAGGAACTACCATGGAGACTATAGGTAGAACCCAGAGTACCCACGATAGGACCCTCAATTTAGAACTTTTTCAACAACATAGAGCCCTTGAAGGCAGCCATGACAGAATAGGTAACCCCTAAACCCTAAAACCCTAAACCCCTGAACCCTAAACCCCTAAACCAACCATAATAAGGAACCCGACAAAGGTAGGTCTTCTCGGCTACAAGTAAACCCTAAAACCCTAAGCTACCTTTTAAGGGTACTATATATAGAAACCATAATAAGGAGCCCTAGAGCCCTAAACCCTAAAACCCTAAACCCTAAACCCTAAACCCTAAACCCCCTAAGCCCCTAAACCCTAAACCCCTAGACCCTAAAACCCTAAGCCTCAAAAATACTCGGCCCCCGAGCCTCACGAGGCTTCGAGGCGAGGGTTGCCCCGAGAGCGCGCAGCCGCAGGCTTTGGATTTTAGGGTTTTTTGGGGTTTTTGGGTTTTTGGGTTTTAGGGTTTTAGGGTTTTTGGGTTTTAGGGTTTTTGGGTTTTAGGGTTTTTTTGGTTTTAGGGTTTTTGGGTTTAGGGTGTTTGGGTTTAGGAGGTCTGGGTTTAGGGGTTTAGGGGTTTGGGTTTGAAGGTTTTGGGTTTTATCGTTTAGGGGGTTTGGGGTTTAGGGTTTAGGGGTTTAGGGGTTTGGGGTTTAGGGTTTGAGGTTTAGGGGTTTTGAGTTTTATCGTTTAGGGGGTTTAGGGGGTCTGGGTTTAGGGGTTTTGGGTTTTGGGTTTGAAGGTTTTGGGTTTTATCGTTTAGGGTTTAGGGGTTTTGGGTTTTAGGGGTTTGGGTTTGAAGGTTTTGGGGTTTATCGTTTAGGGGTTTAGGGGTTTTTGGTTTTAGGGGTTCGGGTTTGAAGGTTTTGGGGTTTATCGTTTAGGGGTTTTGGGTTTTAGGGGTTTGGGTTTGAAGGTTTTGGGGTTTATCGTTTAGGGGTTTAGGGGTTTTGGGCTTTAGGGGTTTGGGTTTGAAGGTTTTGGGTTTAGGGGTTTAATTAGGGGTTTAGGGGTTTAGGGATTCATTCTTCAGGTTGTGAGATTTTAGGGTTTAGGGCTATGTTCACGTGTTGGGGTAACCCCGGTGCAGGCGTTGGCGTTTGTTTTTTTTCTTTTACAAAGCGTGACGGGGTGTCCCTCAACCCAACATCCCGGCAGAACCTCTAACTTGGATACTGCCCACTCTCAGTGACAGTTGGACAATATCCATAACATTGATATATTAGGCCTTTAATAGTATAATAGTAGCCTTATTATAGACTGTTAGTGTATGGGGGCAGTATCCAACCTCTAACACTCGAAGACCCAACTGAAGGGCTGAATCGATGCCTAGATTCTTCGTCGGGGTTCCTCGCTATAAATATGCTATATGCCGGCCCCCCCAAGCCTATTAGATTCTTAACCCAGAGGCTCCATGTCTAGTACCATTATGGAATTAGGCCCCGAAAGAACATCTTAGTTCCATAATGGAACCTTTTTCTGGAGCCTCTAGGCAAAGGCCCTTTTTACACCAGAGGCCGGACTCCCAACCTCAAATGGTGGCTGCTTAGCAACGATGGGGTCTCCCATGTCGTTCTTGAGGGAGGGGGATCAGGGTTTAGGTTGTGTTTTAACTTAAGGTGCACGGGCCTGAAACAAGCCTGCCATGTATGTTCAAGTTAGGGTTTAGGGTTTAGGGGTTTAGGGTTTAGGGTTTTGTCGTTCATCCCGATTCATCTATTGTCAAGGGTTTTGCTTGATGCGAGCACGTCGCATTCTTGGGGACAGAGGTATGCCTTGTTTGCCTAGTCTGAGTTTAAAGAACCATGCCCAACATGAAACTTACACGATATCAGTGAGTCCGAAAGTCGCAAATACAGGCATCCGAAAGCTTGGAAGAACCCTTGGCTCAGACCCGAAACGTTACAATGTTTCACCCAAAATCCTCAACTGTTTGTCTTCACCCTCGAGCACCAACGACAAATGCCAGGCCAGTCGCTCCACGAATCAGGAAGCACCCTGTCGCCCCATCTTGGCGCAAAGGCTGCCAAGGTCGCGATGCATCAGCGTTCAGATTTGTGATTACCGATGTCGTGTCGGGGTTAAGTGGGGATGGAGGGTTTGAAGTTTTCGGCCGTCTCAAGGTCTGCTGGCTCTGAGGTGTTGCCGCTTGAGTTTATTTCCGCAGTGGGGATATGTGGTTTGGGAGCAGTAGCAGCAGTCGTAGCATGTACAGCCGTATAACCCTTATAGAAATCATACAAAACCCTACGGAAGCATCGAAACCCTACGCAACCCTTCAGGCACCGCTGCCAGAATCGCCGAGAGGAGCCAGCCGTAAGCCTGCTGCTTCTGACAGCTCTCCGCTTTTGCTTGACGACATGGGTACCTAGGTCCCTTTAAGGGTTCTAGGAGGGTACTGTAAAGGTACTATAAGGGTCCCTTTCAGGGTTTCTAGAAGGGTACTGTAAGGGTGCTATAATAAGGGTCCCTTTAAGGGTTTCTAGAAGGGTACTGTAAGGGTACTACACGATCTGTACGGGTACAATGGTTGCGTTAAGGGGTTTCTGAGAAGTTTGGAGGTTTGAGAGTTCAAGGTTTGGGGCTTGGGGTTTAGGGTTTCACAGTTTAGGGTAGCTAGGTGGAGGATGCCCATTTGGGGTTTAGGTTTTAAAAATGCTCCGAAGATTATCGGGGCCAGCCGAGGCGATGATCCTGTCGACGACAATAAGAGCGCACAGGAAGCTCGGCTGCACCTCTAGAGAGGCGGAAGCGACATTTTGGGGCCCTTACCCCATTGGGCACTAAGTCTTTCTGTAGCCTGGTGACAGTCAAGCAACTGAAGCAATCGTAAGTCTTATTCAAGACCTGTTGAGCCGTAGACCTCAAGACCAAGCGAGGAAAGAGTGACATGAGCCGTTTGAACAACAGTGAAAACACAAACGCCCTGAACTACCCTAAGCCGAGCCCTGAATCTGAGGAAGTGGCTTCCACATTCACCCTAAACCCTATAAGCCTTAAACTTACCTCACATACCCTAACCTTGTAGACCCTACTAGCCTTCAGCCCTTCAGAAACCCTGAGGAAGTGGCTTCCACGTCGAGGCGTCTCTTTGAATCTCCCCAGTGCGAGCGTCGCGCGTACGGGGAGAATGCGAAGCACCAGATCCATGAGGCAGGTCAGGATTTAGGGTTCAGGGTTTAGGGTCTAGGGTTTAGGCTTTAGGGTTTAGGGTTTAGGGTCTAGGGTTTAGGGTTCAGGGTCTAGGGTTTAGGGTTTAGGCTTTACGGTTTAGGGTCTAGGGTTTAGGGTTTAGGGTCTAGGGTTTAGGGTTTTTTCTTAATCAGGTTCCTACATGAAACCCTAAAGAGCAGATGAAGGACTCGGAGGATCATGGGACTTAGTAAGTAGGGTTATAAGTACCTTAATTAGAGTTATAAGAAATCATAGCTGTAGTTACCTTACTTATAAGCCCAATTGCTAAGTCCCATGATCCTTTAAGTTGTAGAACTGCGTAGGGTTTATGGGGGCTTAGGGGGTTAAGATATAGGGGCTTAGGGTATAGGGTTTACAGGGTTTTTGGATTTAAGGTTTAGGGTTCTAGGTTTAGGGGTCCTTGAAGGGTCATGTAAGGTTTGTGCAGGGCTTTCCGGTATAGGGACCTGAAGAAATTTGGGGCTTTGCCAGTGGAATTTCCGATCTATTCTTGAAAGCCTCGAAGCCCTGGTCCGGTAATACTTTTCTTTCTTTAAGAAGCATGGCTACCGACTCGTCACCTCCCAGATGGCCGGCACCCACGACAGGCTGTGCCTGGGATGCGGCAAGTGCTTTGCAAAGCCGGCCCGGCTCCGCCGGCACCTCCTCAGCAGCGCCCCCTGCCGGAAAGCATGGGGCTCCTTTCGGCCAGACTCTGCGTCCCTTCCGGCTATGCATGCCCTGGCCCTCCCTCTTCGAGTCCCAGGAGTGATGTCTGGGGGTCATGCTGTGATTGACCCTGCTACTTATCATAAAGGACTGCTGGAGACTTTGCAGGCGCTCGATTGCGCTGACTGCGACACGGCTTGGGGTGTCATCAAGGACTTCATCGAGCCCCTCTCCGTTCTTCGAGCCACGGTCGACCTTTGGGCGTCCACGCCAGGTGCAGCCCCCGGTGTGGCAGAGGTAGCAGAGGACGTGAAACTCATGCTCGATCCACAGTTGTGTTGCGATGACTTTCGAGTTTCTCGCGCCAACGGTGGAAGCGTGGATGTCTTCGAGGCGCTTGACTGGAGGCCGGCGTGTCAGCTCCCTTTCGTCCTGACTGGGGAGGTTGCCGCCTTCAGCATCGACGATCCCCCGCTCCAGGGATACGCGTATCCCTTCACTTGCAGCTTGCCTCTGGCCGCTGCGTCGGAGTTCATGCGCTGGCTTGAGACCAGTTGCGATATTTTGGGGACCTTCGCTCAGACCTCTGCGGCGCACCCTGTGCGTCTCCGTGCCTCTGCTGTGGCACTGGCGGCTCTTGAACCTGCTGGCGCTTGGCTCCTGCGGGCGGGCTTTGTACAGACCGCCTCGGGCCTCCGCTCTCCGGGTTCCTGAGTCCCAGTTTATTTCCGTCTCACCGAATTTGTGTGCATGTGGCGCGTTCACCGAACACAAGCCATCCGAAAGAAAGAATATATATATATATACATATATATATATATATACACATAGATACATACATGTATACGTATGTATTTCGTCCGGACTTCTGCATGATGGGTTTTGTGGCCCATTATGCTATAATCATAATAAGGAACTCCCAAAACCCTATTCTAATTATTAAGGCCCCTATAGTATTCAGGGTTTCCGTAAGGGTTCTGGGTTTATCGTTTCGGGCTTTAGTTTATGCACGAAAGTCTGCAGGATGTTTGGGGAATTTGGCGGGGCTACCTGGTAGGGGGTCTTCGTGTTGTTGGCAGTTTTCGTGGCGGGGGGGGGGGGGGGGGGGGGGGGCTTAATACAATACAAGGGTGAAGGTTAGATAGGGAATCCCAAGTTTAAAGTGCAAACGGCAAAGGCAGCTGGCATCCATCACGGGAGTGCTGAACGGCTTTGGCGCTCTTCGTCAGATCATCCACCGAGCCCGTCGGAAACTGTTGCCAGTGCCTCGCCAGCGTTTGGCATTCCAGTGCATCAAACATTTGAGTTGCAGCCCTGATGGGTTTAAACGGGGTTCTCTTGGAGTCATGACAGTTGTAATTTCTGTTGGAAAGCCCGTAGCTTTCTTGATTACAGTCTGGCAGTTTGTCGTTGGGATCGACCAACACTTGATGGCGGCACCCCTAAACCCTAAACCCCTAAACTCTACACCGCCCTAAACTCTAAACCCCTAGACTCGAAACCCCTACAAACTCTAAACCCCTGAACCCTAGCACGCACCCCAGACTTTAGACTAAAAGCCAGAAAGATGGAATATGATTATCATAACCTTTCTATGGTAAATTAATTATAAGGTATCCTACCCTGAAACCATATTCCAACTTTCTGGATTTCCTTATAGACCCCCAAACTTAAGCCATAAATCCCAAGCCTTACCCATAGGCTCCATAGTAGTTCCCTTTTGGGATTACCTTGTAGGATTCCAACTTTCTGGAGTTCCCTGTAGATGAATTGTTCAACTCAGGCTCGGCTTGGTCTCTGAGATCCAGGCGGGGATCGCTGGCCTTCAGGGTTTGGGTTTAGGGTTTGGGTTGAGGGTTTAGGGTTTAGGGTTGGGTTTAGGGTTTGGGTTCAGGGTTAGGGTTTAGGGTTTAGGGTTTGGGTTCAGGGATTAGGCTTTCGGGTTCCAAACCCTATGTAATCCCTAAACCCTATATAGAGGCCCTAAGTCATATATTTCCTAAACCTTAGCCCACGTAAGCCCTAAACGATCAACCCTTATGGGTCCAAGTAGTCCTTATTTATGGTTTTTGCTACCCGCAAAGGCCCTGAAGTCCTATTATCGGGAGTACTTGGACCCTCTGGGAACCCTATAAACCCAATCAGCCCTAAACCATCCTACAGTAAACCCCATAAAGTTGGAAACCGGATTAAGGCCAAATAGTGCTGGGATTCCCTATACATTACTCTTAAGTACTGAGGCTATTGGGTTTCCAACTTTTGGGCTTCTGCTGTAAACCCCATAAGCCCCAAGCGCTTTCACCCCAAAGATACTTGGAGTGCTCCGGGGTACAGCCGGGATTTACGGCTGAGGGTTCCGGATTCTCATCCGAGAATTCCTGTAAGAAGCCGCAGGGTGGGCCTGCCATCTGGATGGGCACAGCAGTTTTTTTTTCAAGAGTTGAGGGTTTTACAGGGCCCCCCTCAACCCCTAAACCTAAGTTGAGGGTTCTGTAAATAAGGCTCTTTCTTCATGGTTAGTATTTAGTACGCGGGCCTTTCTGTCGAGGCGTTACCGATCTGGAAACCCGCTGAGCAGTCAGCACCTGGTGGCTTGGTCTTGCTTTAGGTCCCTCTCTTTCTCTCCCTCCCTCTCTCTCTCTCTCTCTCTCTCTCTCCCTCTCTCTATCTCTCTTTCATGATTACCTAACTGAATAATTAAGCCGCCTTCAAAATTAAGATATTCAGAATCATACATATACATATACATATATATATATATAACATATATATACATACATATATATATATATATGTTTGTTTATTCTTGTTCGTTGGTTTATGTGTCGAAATAGATGTTCACGTCTTCTGGTGCTTTTCAACGCTGGAGTTTTTCTACGGGGTTGAGCAGTTTCTTTTCTGAGGACTTGCTTGGCGCTGTGTAGGCCTTCATCTCGCGCATGTTTGGAACGAGGGGCTCCTTTGTAGGGGCCCGTGTCATGGTATCGGTCCTGCTCGTATGGTTTAGGGTTTAGGGTTTAGGGTTCTGGGGGTTTGGGATCAGGGTCCCTTAACTTCTGAAAGTCTCTCACAGAGGCAGCATTCGTTCGGTGTACAAGATCCCAACTATTCACCTGTCGAGTTCCCACATTGGAGTTCTTCAGTAGGATGCATCTCTCCTGAGACAAAGGAGACACAATGAATGTCACGTTGCCTTCAGGAAAGCTAGCTTGTTTCGTCGGCTGCTTTTAGAGTTGCTATGAGACGGGAGGTAGCAAAAGCATTGCCGGTATGCCGATATCGTTAAACAAACGTAGATAGCCTCATACCCCAAGGATCCAACTACCTAGTGACCATATCCTCCTCCCACATGGTAGCCCACAGAACTATACTAAACCGACGTCCGCAGCAATTTGGTACTTTGGAAGCCCACAGGTGCATGACCCCAAACCCTAAACCTTGTAGGCGTTGAACCCTATAAGCCTTAAACCCTCATCCGGAGTAGGCCTCCAGCTACCCAGGTAGTATAGGTCACACCATAACCTCCTATTTAGGTAACCAGAGACCCAGGGTTAAACCGCATACCCTAAACCCCAAAGAGTCCCCGTAAATCCCAAAGAGTCCTAGGTACTGTTATGGGGGATACTTCCCCAAATCATAATAGTAATCCCTAAACTAGAAACCCTAGTTTATACCATATAGGCATTTAGGACCCTTTGGGAACACTTGCTCCGAAGGAGACGCTGCAGTCCTTCGCAGAGCAGCAGCAGTTGCAAGAGCGCAGAGATTACAACGCAAGGAACTTCCGCAAGGTGAACTCAGGGTTCTGTAAAGGTTCTTGTGGTCTTGGCATTCTTCTGGTTGGCTCTTAGGACTTTAACTTTGTGGGTTTCTATATGAACTATAATAAGGAGGCTAAAAGCCTATCTTTTAGGAGGGGCTCAGAAATCAGCCAAGTAGTGTTCTTTGGGGTTTAATTTCACGCAAACCCTTGTCAACCCCATCAGAGACAAGACAGGGCTGCAGGCTCCAAAGTTATCGGTTCAGTCCAGGACCCCGTGGTTAAGAGTTCCGGAAACGGGGCTGCAGGGTTTCAGGGACCACCTCTATAGCCCCTGGAGGATCTCGACCCTTAAACCTCCATATCCTTTACAGCGCACAAGGGACCCTAATGAAGGAACCTGATTAAGAAACCCTGGCCCTATAACCCCAATATATTAGGATCCATAATGATCCCTAAGAAGGACCCAAGGTTTCTTAATAAGTGAGGATGGCATTCGGATCCCTGTAAAGGAGGCTGCAGTCTTTCATTCGATCTTACCAATGTCGCGGAATGTAGGGCAGGGCGGCGAAGTCCTGTATTCTGCGGTATCGAACATAAAGCAATGTTGGTCATACCTTAAACCTTATAAACCCTCAGCCGCAATCTCTAAACCTTAAACAATATACCCTAAACAACCCTAAGCCCTAAACTCCAGAGCTTTTAGCATTGCTCCTCGGCTGACTCTTGCAAACGCTTCCTACCGCTTCGAACTTCACGACATGCCTCGGCACCTCTGAACTAAACCCAAACCCGGAATCTCTGCAATCCTAAACCTCACCCTAAGGGTCAAGTGTCAAGATAGACCAATGTCTTACATATCATGCTCTTTGGACCCAGGAGGCCGTAAAACAAGACCTCTTAGATCTTGCATTGAGGCCACTCTCAATCTTAATCATGCACGATTCCCTGATCGAAGGCTTTGGCGGGTGTAGGCGTCGTGGTCCCAGTTGCGAGCGCGAAGGCAAGGCCATGAAAGGACGTCGGTGTAGCAGTAGGGGTTTAGGGTTGGCCCAAAGCCCAAACCCGAAATTGGTCTCAGTTGTTCTGACGTCGACGCCCCTCTTCAGACAGCAGCAGGGATAAGCCACCCGTGCCTTGCAGGCTGAATTGAGTTGGCCCCGTAGACCAGTGTCATCCTTCTACGCTTGCGCTCTTCTGCAATATACCCAGTATATCAACCCTCTTGGGCCAGCGCATGCAGCGAGTTTTGTTCCCTGAAGCCGAACCCCGAGAAGAATATACTCCGTGAGTGTTACCCTAAGGGTCCATGTACCTATGTCTTCTGCTATATACTAGGGCTCCAGAGTTGTCCTTATATCCGTACCTTACTGCGCAAGTATATATATATATATATATATATACATACTATATGAGGACATGGACCCTTAGGAGTCATAGGATGTCAGATGCTCTGTGAAGGTTCACTGAACTTGTCCTATTGGGTCGGTTGTGACACCCTGCGAATCTTTTGGTGCATGAAGCATTTAGAAGAGCAGCCCAAAGATAACTTAGGGTACAAAGTCGAGGGATTGGGGAATTCAAGGTTTACCTTATGTAACCCCAAGGAACCTACTGTATCTTTTAATGACTTATATGTGGAAACTGTAGAAAGGAGCCCTGAAAAAGCGTGGGTTTTTGTAGAGGGCCCAGGTATGGGCTAGAGTCTAGAGTGCAGGGTATAAGGGGTATGTAGGGAGACGCGAGGTTCTTTCGAAGCACAGCTCCATTCCAGGGATTGAAGAACCCTAAGGGTCCATGGGTTTAGGGTTTATAGGGTCTAGTTTAGGGTTTAGTGTTTAGGGTTTGCCCCGTCGCCTGCGTGTAAACCCAACCCAGTTGGGTTCCTCGTGATGGGTTTCCTTATTAAGCAAGCCCTCCAATAATGTTAAAGGTCTTTCCCACGAGCTCCCGCTCAACCGTAAGCCTTCATCCTGAACCCCAAAATGAAACCCTATCCTAGAGGCCTAGAGCGCGAAAGCCCTAAAGCCGCAAAACCCTACACGTTTATGGATTCCTTCAACCCCTAAACGAATCCCAAAACTCGTTCCGTGGCTTACTTAGAGGCTCCAAAGTAGTTCCTTTTGGGGGTTGCCTTATAGGATTCTAAGTATGAACCCTAAACAGGAACTACTACTTCAAGGATCATGGGACTTAGTAACTAGGGTTATAAATAAGGTAACTATACTTATAACTACGTACTTATAACCCCAATTAGGGTACTTATAACCTTACTTGCTAAGTTCCCTGATCCTCCAAGCTAAGCCCTAAACCCTAAACCCCATAGATCCCCTTAGAGGAACCCTATAGATCCCTTTAAGGAGCCCTATAGATCCAGATCCCTTTAAGGAACCCTATAAGAACCCTTTAAGGAACCCTATAAGAACCCTTTAAGGAAACCCTATAGATCCCTTTAAGGAACCCTATGGATCCCTTTAAGGAACCCTATAGATCCCTTTAAGGAACCCTAGAGATCCCTTTAAGGAGCCCTAGAGATCCCTTTAAGGAAACCCTATAGATCCCTTTAAGGAACCCTATAGATCCCTTTAAGGAGCCCTAGAGATCCCTTTAAGGAGCCCTAGAGATCCCTTTAGGGAACCCTATAGGGCAAACTCTGCGCTAGGCTTTGACAGAAGCCTCCGGGCCTATCCTCGCAACTCCTCAACGTCGCCGCTCGCCGCGGGTTACGACGACGCCGGAGAAAGGCGGCCTGTCAGGGCTATATAGGTTTCGATACAGGCTTTATATAGGGTTTATCTAGGTTTTATATAGGGCTTATATAGTTTTTTTACGGTTTATATAGGGTTTATATAGGGTTTGTGGGGTTTAGGCTTCAGGGTTTAGGCCTTCGGGGCTTCAATTTGAGTCCAGACCGTGCCATCCAGATACACAAGCCGAACAACAAAATTTAAACCCAACCATCAAGACAGCAACAACCACGACTCAGACACATGTTTGAAATTAATGGTGACCACCCAAGACCGCGGAGAGCCCCCAAGAAAGCACACTGCCCTCAGACCTCAAGCCCCCAACCCCTAAACCCCTAAACCCTAAACTCCGAAACCCATAATTCCTAAGCCCTTAAAACCTAAACCCTAAACCCCTAAACCCTAAACTCCGAAACCCCCAGATCCTAAACCTGAAACCCCTAAACCCTAATCGCCTGGTTGCCGATGTCAGACAGCTGGGATGATCGAACTTCCTGCGCAAGGAGTCGGCCCTCACCGGATCAGGGTTTACCTGCCCAAAGGGTCCTACTTAAATAAAGGATCCTTCAAGGGGTCCTTATAGGGATCTATAGGGGTTCCTTAAAGGGATCTATAGGGTTTAGGGTCCTAGTTAAAGGATCATGGGACGTAGTAGCTGGGGTTATAATTAGGGTAACTATACTTATGACCCCACTTAAGGTACTTATAACCTTGCTTACTAAGTCCCATGATCCTCCAAGTAGGTACTGTTATGGGGGATACTTCCCCAAATCATAATAGTAATCCCTAACATAAAAACTCTACATTATATACCATATAGGTAGTGGGGACCTCTTGGGTTATAGGGCCATACGGTTAATGCAATATACAACCTGCATTACCGTAACGAAGCCGGCCTACGGGAGTTATGGTATATGGTTAGGATCTGTTATAGCAAAAGTAGCTACGCTATGAAAGGGGTAGCGTATGACCGACAACCAAACGGACCTAGACAAAGCTTCTCTGGTAAGCGTTTAGCTTTTCGAATTTGGCGTCAGCTTTTTGAGCAGGGTTGTTGTTTTACTCGCAGGACTTTGCGCGTGAGGGTTATTGCAGGATTTCAGTGCCTTAGAGCCACGTTTTTACTGTTCATAATTGTCGGGGTGAAGGGTCTTCTGGTGTTCCAAGATTGGGGCTTTGCGTCGAGGCTTGCAGGTTCAGGGTCTAGGCAGATACGCATTCGCATTTGCTCGGCATTCAATTCTCGCTTCGCAGGCTAGAGTCTGTAGTTCCTTTTGGGGGTTCTTACATAGAATCCTATAAGGTATTCCCCAAAAGGAACTACTTTGGGGCCTATGGGTACTGACAGATCAATCAGGCATAAGCATACGTATAAGGTAAAGGCATGTCACTGGTTCAGCGGTGGTGATGCGGCCAGGACATTCGATGGCCTGCCGCTCCGAACAATTCGGCAAGTCGCCAAGTGAAGATCAGTCCGGGCTGCATCGTTTTGATTACGGTTTAGGGTTTAGGGTTTTAGGGTTTAGGGTTTTAGGGTTAGGGTTTTAGGGTTTAGGGTTTAGGGTTTGTCCATGCGAACACGGACATAGAGCAGTCTTGCCGCTCAAATGCAGACCCGGGCACGATTTGCATTTTGTTGCCGCGCCTCACTCCCGCTGCTTGGTTTCTGCAGGCAGGGCGTCAGAAACATAACCCTAGTTACATAAATAGTCGGTTACTGGGGTATATGATATATGGTTATTAACCTGCTATTTAGGTAACTGGAGCGTTAGGGTAGCATAGGAGTGAAAGTCAAGCTAGTCTAGGAACCTACACCCAAATACCTCTAAACTCTAAACCCTAAACTCTAGACTTTCAAGCCCTAAACCTACTTAGGACCTACTGTTTGTTTGACGTCTCTTCATAAGCATGGCCTGTCCTGCAGAGACGGTCCGTCGCAATGGGAGGTGCAGGCCCTCCAGAGCCCAACCATCCCTAAATCAGCAGAAATGTGAGGGTTTACAGTAGAAGCCAACAAGTTGGAACATCATTAGTCTTCTTCCCTTGAAGTAAAGTATAGTGGATTCCAGCATGGATCATCTTAAATCTATGTTCCAACTTTATGGGGTTTGCTGTAGGGTTTGGGGCTTACGGAAGTTTGTTACTAATAGTTATAGCTTGCACCACATCTGCCAGGCCTTGTCTTAACTCGCCTACCGTACTGCCTACAGCAGTCCAATACATTAGTTAACTTCATGAAGCCTTGTGGGGTATACTCGAACCCCTCTAAACCCTTAAACTCCCAGCCTAAATCCTAAACCCTACATACTTTAAGACATTTTTCCTAAACCCTAGCCCCTATTTAATTGACAAGCCCTACATACTCTAAGATCTTTCCGAAAGTAAGGGGCACCTTGGGCTCTGTGGATCGAAGAAGTCTCGAAGGCTCATTCGAGTCGACATGGGTAGGAGCCGGATGGCTGTGACCGTCACGAGGGCAGGGTGCTTTAGGGTTTTGGGTTTCGGGTGAGGAACTCAGTGATTCTGCATTGGGGTGTTTTAGGGTTTGGCACTCGTCGTCGTAATTTCCGTATAGGAACAAAAGTGGTTATATTATTTTAAAGTCTACATATACAGATACTATGATAGAGGGATGCAGGTCTTCCGTTTGTGGTTTCCCAAAGGCTCCATGTACCATCATAGTATCATTGCCCCTTTGCACCGAACCAGAACCACAAGGTTTAGATCCACAGGGCTTTTTCGACAGAGTTGGCTTTTAAAGACGTTTACAGACTTTTAAAAACTTTCAAATGCAAGAAAAAACATTCTAAAAACTTTTAGAAGACTTTAAAAGACTTTTAGAAACTTTTAGAAGACTTTTGCAAACTTTAAAAGACTTTTCAAAACTTTAAAAGGCTTTTAAAATATTTAAAAGACTTTTAAAAACATTAAAATACATTTAAAAGCTTTAAAAATACTTTAAAAGACTTTTAAACGCTTTTAAAAGCTTTTACAAACTTTAAAAAGAATTTGAAAGACTTTTAAAGACTTTAAACAACTTTTAAAAATTTTTAAAAACTTTAAAACAAAAAAAACTAATGTTTTTTCCGAGAAGACGAGGATGAAGAAGACCTGGCACAGGGTTTACAGTTTCAGGGTCTTTAGGGTTTGGGGTTAGAAGGCAGAGTGCCATAGTATTAGGGGTTTGAGGGTAATGAAAGGGTTAGGGTTAGAGTTTCAGGGTCTTATTATATTTAGGGTTTGGGGTTAGAAGGCAGAGTGCCATAGTATTAGGGGTTTGAGGGTAATGAAAGGGTTAGGGTTAGAGTTTCAGGGTCTTTATTATATTTAGGGTTTGGGGTTAGAAGGCAGAGTGCCATAGTATTAGGGGTTTGAGGGTAATGAAAGGGTTAGGGTTAGAGTTTCAGGGTCTTTAGTATTTAGGGTTTGGGGTTAGAAGGCAGAGTGCCATAGTATTAGGGGTTTGAGGGTAATGAAAGGGTTAGGGTTAGAGTTTCAGGGTCTTTAGTATATTTAGGGTTTGGGGTTAGAAGGCAGAGTGCCATAGTATTAGGGGTTTGAGGGTAATGAAAGGGTTAGGGTTAGAGTTTCAGGGTCTTTAGTATTTAGGGTTTGGGGTTAGCAGGCAGAGTGCCATAGTGTTAGGGTTTGAGGGTAATGAAAGGGTTAGGGTTAGAGTTTCAGGGTCTTTAGTATATTTAGGGTTTGGGGTTAGAAGGCAGAGTGCCATAGTATTAGGGGTTTGAGGGTAATGAAAGGGTTAGGGTTAGAGTTTCAGGGTCTTTAGTATATTTAGGGTTTGGGGTTAGAAGGCAGAGTGCCATAGTGTTAGGGTTTGAGGGTAATGAAAGGGTTAGGGTTAGAGTTTCAGGGTCTTTAGTATTTAGGGTTTGGGGCTAGAAGGCAGAGTGCCATAGTTTTAGGGTTTGATAGTATTAGGGATGCACAAATCGCGTGAAGTGGCTACGAACTGCTGGATGTTGCGCTTTTCTGCGTTGACCACACTGTCAAGCGAATCACGTGCAGGCGAAGCAGGGTACAGCTGGGTGACGCGACAACGTCTGGCACTCTGCCTTCCCAGCTGCTGGCACTCTGCCTTCCCGCCTCAAGATCCATTAATTATTGCCACCCCAACTTTGCACTCAGCTGGTCGGTCAAAGGTATTGCTCCAGCATCAAGGTCAGGAAGTTACCCCGGACCACCGAGACGGATGGCAACAAGTGAGAGGTGTTTCATCTGAAGGACAAACTGCCGTTGTTGTTCATCTTCGTCGTTCCAAACATAAACAAAATCACAAACGAGAGAAACGCGCGGCAACTCCAGCGGTTCTTCTCCTTCACCCACCTGATAACACTTCGGGAAGGGGCCTTGGTACCGTCGAAGAAGCCTGAGGCCTCCTGTAATGCGGGAGCCAATACGTGGCCAGTAACGCAGGTAGCGAACCATGATTTCCCAAGGCACGTCGTCATAAACTTCATTCCATGTCTCAGCTGGTTTCCACTGGTGAGGCGCTTTGGCCAGTTTTTCGCAAGCGGTTTTGATCAAGATTGGGGAGAGCTCGCCTCTGAAGAAACACTCTCCTCGTTCGATCGGGGCGAAATGCATTGCTCTGGACGGCTACTGTTCAGTCACAAGCACGCACGGCTTCAAACCACATGTGCTAGTTTGTGCGGCTTCCGGGTTGTGGCACTCGAAATGATTGTCCATGTGCTTGCACGTGACAAATTCCACATGTGTGAAAATGCGAACATGCTTTCGCAATCCGTCTTCCCCAAGCAGAAACACACAGTCTCTCGGACGCATTCCAATCTAGCAGGACCCGCTGCCATCAATGCAAGCACACAGACAGACACACAACTTTTCTTTGCAGCGCAGGATGAATCCTCTAGTTGTTGCCAGGCCTCCTGGTCGGGCCACAACAGGGCCTATGGTCAATGACGTGTTGTCTGGCCTGCGCTTCTGTCATCTTGGAAGCCACACGTCCCCAGTGATAGGGTACGAGGTGGCTCCACTCGCCTTCAATGCCAGACACACATGGGTTCATGTAATGTGACACAACACACAGCAGATCAGGCAACCACATCGAAGCTATAACAAATGTTCCGAATCTTTCCAAGAGACCGCCGTCTGTCACACGAACTCGGAGAAACCATTTTGCTTTGTCAGTGCCACCAGGATTCGGGTCGTACTTCATCTCACCAGCGATCTTGGGACACTCCGGGCATTGAACAGGTGTCCATACCCCTTGGTAGTCAACACGGTTCGGCCGCCGCTGATGTTGGGGGCCACGGACTGCAACCTCCCGTGGCTCGAGTGCTGGGATAGGCACTGCAGGCACCTCCGGCATCTCAGCAGGAGGGGCTGGCACTCTGCCTTCCTCGGGCTCCACGTGATCATCAGGCTCTGGGACAGGGATTGCAGCAGGCACCTCCGGCATCTCAGCAGGAGGGGCTGGCACTCTGCCTTCCGCGGCCTCCACGTGATTATCAGGCTCCGGCTCCACCGGCACCTCAGCAGGAGGTGCTGGCACTCTGCCTTCTGCTCCCTCTTGACCACTTTCATCAGGAGGCGCGGGTTGCTTCCTGGGCAACATACGTGGGCGACAAATCTTTCTCTTGGCTTTCCGTTTGGCCTGTGGCTTGGCCTTTGCTTTGGTCTTTGCTTTGGCCTTGCCCTTTGCCTTGGCCTTTGCTTGCTGCGTCTTGATGGCCTGCCAGGTTTGATGCACCCTTTTGATTCTGCGTTTTCTGACTGCGTCTGAGACCATTTTAAATTCCTGTTTGTCCTCAGCAAGCAGGTCGTCAAGAACCAGCTCATCAACAAAGTCCCCCATGATAATGTCATCCTCATCCTCATCCTCTGTTGAATCTTTGGCTGTCGAATACATAGCCTCAATTTTGCGCATGAAATCCTCATCTTCCGGAAGGTGATGAGAAGCGATCAGGCTCATGAGCTTTGGACGGCGCATTCGTTGCAGCTCCTTTCGCTTTTTTTCGTCTACGTTTCCAGTCTGGGAGATCACATGCTCGGCGAGATTCTGGCAGTCTGCGAGAGTCCGACATGCTTGTGACATTTCCCTCAGTCGAGTCAGCAAAAACAAGCACAGCAAAACTTATATAAGTTTATTGTACTATTTACTGTATGGGTCGACAGTTGACAGAATCCTAAATGAAAACATGTCACTTGGGATGCTGCAACATATAGGATAGAAGTGACACTGAGCTTGTAGCACAACGACGGAGGCAAATGAAGCCATTCCAGAAGACTGCCTCTGTTTCGATGACTTCCCAATACTGGGGCTCATACAAATGAATCCAGCAGGCCTTGACGCTGGAACCATCCGGGCACTCTGCCTTCAAAACAAAATATATCTCTCCTGTCGACTGGTCCTCATGCTGGACCACTGGCCACATGAGAGCAGCCCAGGTTTTTGCCCCAAGAGAGAGATAGCATGTCAAATCCAAGA